ACTATAAATAGAAGTAGGTGATATATAATTATATACAGGGTTACCTGACCGAACGTTCGGGGCCCCCTGGGCTAGCCCCCGAACGTTCGGGCGTTCGGGGTCCCCTTCGGGGGCCAAACACCTCCAGGTTTGTCCCCCGCCAAAAACAATTTCGGGGCCTAAAAATAAGTTTTTTTTTCTGAAATATTTTTTGTGAGTTCTCTTTGATGTAACCTACGTGCCTATAAATTTTGAAGTCATTCTGCGAAGCCAAAAAAACATTAAAAATCGTCAAAGATGGGGGTGTCAAAACGTGCTCGCCCACTCACCATTTTGTTTTTTTTCACTTTCAACTTTTTGTTTTCACTTTATTTCGGGGCCTAAAAAAAATTATTATTTTTAAAAAATATTTTAATGAGTTATTGATTATGTAAACTACATATCTATAAATTTTCAGGGCATTTTTTAATGCCAAAAAATAATTAAAAATCGACAAAGATGGCGGTGTCGAAAAGGTGCTGGCACACTCACTCATTTTAATTCTCTTTTTATTTTTTTTAATTTTTATCGTAGTGTTTATTTTCTATATTTGATTTTCAATTCAAATTTGGTAACGAATTTGGATGTAGTGCCCAGACAAATGTTGTTTAGTTTATTTTTCTCCATAACATAGTTGTTTTGTGGAATTTTTTGAAAACTTTGTTGTTGTTGTTGTTGTTGTTGTTTTTTTTTTTGGGTCCGCTTTCGGCCCGAATGGCCGAACACCTTCCGAAGGGGGCCCGTATGTTCGGGCGTTCGGCCCGTCCTGGGCGTCGGCAACCCTGATTTATTATTATTATTATTTTTTTTTTTTTAATTTTTTTTTATTTTATTTTTTTTTAGCAGAAATAACATAGTTTCATTATAAATGCAAAAGGAGGCCGGAAATCCCTCCACATCTCAACCCGGAGAGGAGAACCCAGCCTCAGAGAGGCCAACTGGAAACCGGGTCCAGTGTCCCATGTTCCTATCGACAGTCCAGCTATTTCTGAAGAAAAGAGAAGAATCAGGCAATTAAAATCTACCAAAAGACACAAAGGGACGAGCTACCTCTCTATCCATGATCCTACAACCATTCATATCCGTGAGCACTACCCGGCTTCGCTTCATGGAAGTCTATCTTCGACTCACCAACATCTCCTAAAACCTTCCACTGGAAATTTAAACCCGATTCCAAGATACTCAACCCATCAACACTCCGGCCCTTAACTACGGGTTAATTTCCATCTGTAACTCTATATTAACTATTACCAATCAATTTTCGAAAAACGAAATACAGCCTTTCAGACCAACCAATCTCCAAAAGTTAACTCAGTCATACAACCGTTCATTGACTGAACCGATTTTGATCCTCTCACAGCTACAGGGATGACCCTGTTACCTTCACTGCTGCACCACCCTGTAAGTAGCCTGAACTGCCATGATGGTTTTCCCACCACGCACCCTTGGACCTTCGTTTTTGCGGACACAATGGGTACAGTTCAAGTTTGCTCCTCACCGGTTCTCTCTTAGCACCTAACCAATAGCGTTCCCACCTCCTCTTGATACTCTCCCACTGCTCAAAATGGCGCCGCTATTAGTAATTTCGTAGGTTTCATCCTGAACTGAGTAAGGATTGCCTTGTTCTCACACGTATGAGTCGTTGTGGCAAGCTACCCTTTCACCCACACTGTCCCAGCACCCTGTAGAGAGCCTGAGCTGCCATGACGGGTTTCCCACCACGTACCCTTGAATCTTCTTAATTTTGCGATCGCAATGGGTACAACTCAATTTTTCCCTTCACCTGATCTCTCGTGCCATCTAACCGGTAACATTCCCACCGCCCCTTGTTACACTCCCACCGGACAAGGTGGCGCCGCTACAGTAGCCATTCCACGCGTATCACCAGATTTCCTTCATGTCCGGTCATAAACCACTGTACTTTCTTCTCACAAAAACTATGGATACTATGACCCACCAAATGAAACTACATACCTAGTATATACCTCTCCCACAATGGTTCCCTCGATTTTGTCCGGGTAAGCTTCTCATCCTTACTACTCAATACGCTGTAAACAGCCTGAGCTGATGAGACGGGTTTCCCACCACGATTACATGTTTCTAACAGCGAAACACTAAGAGTGACAGTGCCCTAAATACGACCGAAAAACAGCAGCACAGAGATTATGCTAACCTAGAAAATAACCCAAAAAACGAGGTCAATATTACCAAAGAATAGACTATTACCAAAAAATAGACAAAATTCCTACACCCACAATACTACTGCCCGTTATTGTATCCGAGCTCTTTACATTACATCGCAAAATACGGCCAGAAACACAGCAGCACAGAGGTTATTCTTGCCTAGAAAACAGCAAAAACGAGGTCAACATTTTCCACAAAAATCCCTAGTAATTATAATCAAAAATATAGATAACCCCCAACTTTGTAGACCTCCACCCACTAACAACTAGTCCCTCGTTAGTATCAAGGCTGCCCTCTCATCATCACTGTCCAAAGCGCTGTAAAGAGTCTTTGTTGCCTAGACGGGTTTCCCACCACGCACCCAATGGATACAACTCTAGTTTGCTATTTACCAGGTCTCTCTTACCTCCACGCCAGTAGAGTTCCCACTACCTCTCATCGCACTCTCACTGTTTCTCGAGGCACTGCTACTGGTAGTCCCGTGAGTTTCGCCCTAAACCACTTCCACTCCATGACCCTGCTGTCTTGGTTGCACCTTCTGTGCTACCTCAAAGAGAACCCCATTTCGATAGAGTAACCTTAAGTCTATGAATCTAACCAACGAGTACAGCTCAATACAACACCTAAAAAAAAAAAAACTCAAACAAATGCATCTACCAACAACCATGTCCGGGTGCGGACCCTGAAACTATTGTACCCCGCTGTATCCTTGGTGTTGGCGATAGCACTCCCACCGCCCATACTGGCTCTGCCACCGCTAGCATAGATGCTACTGCCATCCTTCACATCCGCCGCGTCGGAGACTCGCGCCTGCCGCTGCAGGAACGAGCAAAGATCTTCTTCCAAACTTGGTCTTCGTCAACCAGACTACATGCCAATTCTTCGTCATTTTCTGCGGTAAAAGTTCCATTACTTGAGTAAAGTGGAAGGTGGAAGCCAGAGGAGACCGAGTGGGGCCCATACCCTGAGTGCAAGGCACTCCCCCTCTAATCAAGGAGCAGGTTATGGTATGGACAACCGAGGATATGGCGCCGCCATACCTCCCTCCAATCGGGGCGTTCATCTTTCCACAATTCGTGGCCACAGGACTCGATGAACCCACTTCATCGTCAAGCGTCGGCCGGACCCCGGGGCGCTAGGGCTGTGCTACATTCGATCTCGAATTAGCGCAAACTTAGCGCACCGAAGCGCTACCGGGCGCCTGCCGACCTCCCCTTCTCCCCTTTTGGTCCCAACCCTGATCATATAGATATATATTTGTTTTTTTGAAGGGCGACGACCTTGGAGTAGGTGAGAGGTACGGAGTGTGAGGTGAAATTGCGACAAGAAGGTAAAAAAAAGGGAAAAAATTTACGTATGGGCGGCAAGTGGCGGCGTGGGCGGCAAGCGCCGGCGACAGGTCGGCGACGTAGTGCGACGCAGGGCCATCCGCCAACATCTTGAATGCATCTGGACGTCATTCTGTCCAGATGCATTGAACATCTTGGTGGATGGCGAGTAGTTAGTGCAACTACCGCACTGGCGGTATGCGTGCGCTTTGGCGGGAAGTCTGTGTGTGCGCGGTGCGTACGTATTGGTAAATAAATGGGAATGAATCGTTTCCCAGAACATGGAAAGATGCATCCCCATTGTTTTTTGTCTTTATTCAATGGGGTGAGCAACGGAGAGAGCGCCTCACGCCAGAGGTCCTCACGATCCGCCGCCGTCTCTTTGGGCCACTTTGGGCCTCGCTCTACTACTCAACACGTTATACGTATCTGGACTTCTTTCTGGACCAGGTGCATCTAGAGGAGTCCAACATTCGTAATGTACCGGGACGTGTTCGAGCAGCAGATGCATATAGAGTGTTCTGTACTGTAGTGGAGCGAGGCCCTTTTCCTCTCTTCAATGGGTGGCTGAAGCACTGGGCCATCATCACATGCACAACAGACAAAAAACTATGGCGACGTATCTTCCCGTCTTCTTGCGGAATATTCATTCTCATTTTGCGCATTTCGAGAGTAGTGGAGCGAGGCCTATTTCCTCACCCCCCCCTCGTTTTGTACCCCATTCTTCCACGTGTTGTTGACTGCCAGTCATTTCCTTCTCAGGCGTCGTCATATCTCTCCACGTGGGCGTTACTTGCGGCTGGTCGTAGCCGCCGTCGGTGCGACCGCTCGCTCAATCACCGTAGCATGTGTGACCGGTCGTCGGCAACCGGTTACTCCTTGTTGCGGTCATTAGGGTTCGTAAGTCGCCGAGCCTACCGGTCGTCCAGAGATCTTATCGATCTACGCTACACGTGGCCGAAGATTGAAACGCGCGACGCGAGGGTGTTGCTGCGTTCGACTATGTGACGCATACACACACACACACACACAGATAGATCGATAGATAGATAGATAGATAGATAGAGAGAGAGAGAGAGAGTGCGGAGATTGGAAGGAGGGTGCTGTGCAAGACAAGGTGAGAGAGAGAGAGAGAGAGAGAGAGAGAGAGAGAGAGAGAGGGCGGAGATTGGAAGGAAGGTGCTGAGCAAGACCAGGTGAGAGAGAGAGAGAGAGAGAGAGAGAGAGAGAGAGAGAGAGAGAGAGAGAGAGAGAGAGAGAGAGAGAGAGAGAGAGAGAGAGAG